GTTCCAGAGGTGGAAAACGACAAGTACAAGGGCAAGCAAGCCAATGAGAGACAGAAGCAAGTAAAAAGAAAATTGCCCCGCGGAAAAATTGAAGGTACAAAGAAAAAGAAGCCGTTCCACCGTCCAAAAAACAGAGTTCACGAACACCCCCAGAATGAAGAAGGGAGAAGGACGACGTATGTGGAAAAGACCGGGAGAAAAAGGACGGCAGCTATAACCCGACTGTGAAACGGAAGATTGACTCATCCGACAGAACTCTCCGCAGCAAAAGTCGCCGAACTGCGGAAGGGCCATCAGCGGCGGAGGAAAAAGTACAAGAAAAATTTGAACGGCCAACAACGAGGTCCAAGCAGGATCACGACAGAAGTTTCCCGGTTCCACCAAGACCAGCTGCCTTCAAGCGGCCAAGACCACAAGCAGAGGACAGAAGGAAGATGTTCAAGGGTGGCCGTAGTGGTGAAAAACGGAAGCTTCCAGAGGAAAGCACTGAAGGGCGAGCCCGTACAAGGAGGATCAACCAAGCAACGGTCTGCAGCACCTTTAAAGACTGGGCCCAGAAAAGGATGTCTGAATATTACAAAGATAAGTAAAATTTTGTGTTACTTTACAAACTTAAGTTAATCCTTCATTCTTACTGCAAGTGGCAGATTTGAAGAAGTTTTACCTCATGCGAGGTCTACCTTTATCGCCAAAAGGGCGAGAAATGAGTTGTGACCGATTTTCTTATTATGTTTTTCAATTACTCGCGCGCGTAAAACTAAAGTTGATGTATAATAGCGTTGTATAAAGACTTAAATTGTATAAATTTTATTTAAAACATTCTAACAAGAAAGAAGTTTTAGTCTGAAAGACTTTTTGAAATGTAGTATTATTTCAATGTAGAAAGAATTGGCACTTGCTTTGAAAAGAATAGAAGTTAACAATGTACTACTAATGTATGTTTTCAAATGTGTAAAATTAACGGCATCTTCATATGTTCTTGTATACATGTGAACTGTTATTTTGAATGTTTAGAAATACCGTGATATGGTAAAAAGTGAAAGTAATGTTAAAAAATTTTGTTATTCGTGTGACTGTAAAGATTAAATCATGCTGAATATGTGTTAAAGGTTGAATGATGTAGTTAGGCTCTCTGACGCTACACTTTAGAGTTAGCCACTTTCAGAATAGTACCTCAGGGTCTAGAGTTGAAATTAGGGTGTGTTAAGAGGTCTCGTATGTTGAATTTTAACACGTTAGTGTTTTGATTGTAGGAGGAAGTGTTGAACACATAGACAGAAACACATTCGTGTTTGGTGTTTTTACAACACATGTCAGAGAGCACGGGGAGAGATAATTAAAATAGTCATGAATGAAATAAGAATGTTAAGAAAAGTATATTCTATATGTTATTTACAATGTCATTCTGTAACATTTCATTAAACTAGTTTTCCTTCCAGATCTCTGGAAGGAACCAGAATTGAATAAAGCTCCTGTTTTGATGCAGTACAGATGAAAAAGAAAAAAGATTGTTGTATATTCCGGGAGCTGCTATTGTAACAAATTTCTTTCTTTTAAAATTTTCTAGTTTCTAGAGCTAAAAGTTTTCAACAAGGTCGTTTTAGACCTCAGTTTCAAACTAATTAACTCTGGCGGGAAGTATGTAAGGATCTTAAGTTTTACTAACGTTTATTTTATTTTAAATCTTTACTATCACTTCTTATTTTCTACTTCCGGCCAGAATTATAAGCGTGAAGGAGTTTTATGCAAAGTTGTCTGGCGAACGCCAAGTATTTAAGTGTGGCCTTTTTGCCAAGCAGAAGAGAGGAAGCCGTGAGTTCGAAGCAGGCCGCTTACCTTAGAAGTTACGCAGTTGCTACTTTGCCTTCCAGGCCAGAGGTTTTAATCCTCTTGATAAATTAAACGTATTGTAGTGTTCACAGTCTCTGTGCTACATACGCTTCCTGTTATTATAAGGCCAATCTTATTCTAAAGTTAAATTAGAGTTTAGTTTTATTTTGATATCTTTTAAGTTAGACCCCGAGTGGAGGGTCATTGTATTCCGAAGTACGGAAGTCATTGTATATAAAGAAAAAAAATAAAGGGTTTTGTATACCCTTCGTCTGTATCCTGTCTACTTACTACAATTAGTGAACATAGCTTTAGTAAGCTCTCTGTTCTAGTCAGGTCATTGTATGTTTCCGAAGAAGGTAAGAAGAAACATTGAACCTGATAATTTAACAATAAATTTAAAGATAAGAGTAGAGCTAGACTACACAAATCAAATTTAAACCTAGCAGGCTGGCTCAGAAACCTACACCTGCGATATACTAACTAGCCAGAGTACATAATCGTTACTAAGATTAACAGCTGGATGACAGAATATCGTGAAAGCGAAACCACGTTCTGTCTAACCTTTTCGTTTCAACTGTTTAAATATTCTCCTTCACCTACTTAATTTTTTCTCACATTTAAATTTTTAAGATTTGGATCTAATTAAGGTTTTAAACTTAACATGCGCTCAAAGTGAAATGAAACTAATATTCTGCTAGGTCCTAAGAATACATATGGGCTAAAGATGTCATAGTTACCACAATGCAGTTTTCTCCACCGCTTAGATGCTGGTTTTTCTGCTCTTTCTAAGACAATTTTCCCATCAAGATTATGCTCTTAACTTTTCGTGAAAATGTTTTCCTTTACCCAGTAAAGTTTCGCTTAAAAATACATCTCTTGCATTAGTAATATAAGTGTAATTTTACAGTCCAGCTTTTTTTTTTTTTTTTTTACTGTAATTTTTATCGAGCACTCAAACGCTTTATCTTGTAAGTTGCATGCAAAATTTTTTAATGAACTTCACGAGAAAAATTGCTCATTCCTAGTGCTTCATAACCTTCACTAATTTCTGATATGCGTCCTTAGACACGATTCTGATCAGTGATTCTGATAGTGAAATTTTTGATATACTGTAGCAATTATTTCTTAACAACTAAACGCTTAGTAGTATACTTTCTTGTTCTTATTTTCAGCTACACTGTTTCATCTAATGCAAGTTTCAATTACATTCGAGTAAAATTAAAGATTTCTAAATTGAAGCTCATGCCAAATAAAAGTAATTTCCGCTTCAATGAAATGATCATCGCTTTGAAAGTTTTCCCCCGCATTCTTCGCTGATTATGAATTTTTAATCATTTGGCAAGTGAATACTGAAATTGAATTTCAATAAGAATTAGAATATCTTCCATAAGCAATTAAAATGAAATTCTAAGCAGCTGCTGAATTTTTATGCAGGCTACAGCGGCTCTGTATTTTGACCTGTGATTTATTTTCAGATTCACATGACGAGTGACAGAAGAAAAAAATTTATTATTATGATTTAGATGTTTCGTTATAATTCTACTGGCGATAGCTGAACTTTCGTATTTTTGTCGCTTAAGTTTTTTAAGTTGAGATCTGGTTAATAAGTACAATTTTCAGTTAGAGGCACAGTATTGTACATATTGTATTCGTTCTTTGAGAACGAATAGTGCTATATTACCTGTTTTAAAAGGTTTTCGAAAGCTGCTAAAGAAGAAAGAGCGGTAATGTTGATTATTAATAATGTTACATTAAGAAAATTACGAAGTAATTGCCAAGTGAATTATCTACCCAAACTAGTGAATTCTGTACTAAAAATAAATTAACTAATAAAAAAAATTACAAGCGGCGGCCATAAAATAAGTGGAAAGTTTCTTATAAATACGACAAAGATTACTAACCTTCAAATAAATTTATCTTTTTTAAAATAATCGCCATTGAAATCTATTAAATAGCATCAAAAACAAAAATGAATTACTTTTGGGGCCAGTTCAAGTCTTATTAGTCATATAATGCTAGCTGTTTAGTTTGGAAACGGAAAAATTAGGATAAATAGTACAGAAATGTGGTAATTAAAAAATTTTCATAATCTGAAGTAAGAACTAGTTATAAATACACGATACGCTGAAGAGTGAGACTTAGTGTGGTTTACCATATTTCGTTAAACAAACTACATTTAATTAATAATTAACTACACTGTTCCATAAAAAATAATTTTTCCGTCACAATAAGAGCTCGAAATTTAACTCTGATTTATGTAGTAGATAAACTGCTTTAATTTGATACCGAAATTAGAGACATTTTGGCAACCGCCGTGATACATATTTCATTGTGTTGGATGAATCAGTGAGCAGTCGTCTTAGATTGTAAAATTATAATTATCATTACATCATTATTAACGTTTATTTATGTTCTGAGAAGTATTGGCCATTTACAGAAGTGATCATCTACAGGAGGGGATAGACAGAAGGTCACCGTATGTTATTATTCCATTAGTTTGTTCTAAAAAATTATGCATGTAGAAAATTGTTCATTAAATGATTCTTCTCAAAATGCTAATGCAAATTTGTTATTCCTTTGACTGCTGATTCAGAAGCAATTCAAAATTTCTTTCAAGTACTGAAACATATATAGCATATTTGCATTAAACTCAAACGAGAACATGGTTATTATAGATATTTTACAGTCGCACAAAATTTCTTTGTTAGTATATAGATGCTTCAGCTATATTAGCCAATCAAATTTAATTTGAGTGGATGGTACCTACTGTAACAAATCTGGCTGTTTTCTACATATTAAAATTTGGTTATTCAACTCAGATTAAGAAAAATTTTTTTAAAAATTTATTTGGTTATATATATATGAGAGCAATGACATTTTGTTCAATTCAGTTTACTATTTCAGTTATATTTGCGATTAATTATAGTTAGTACTTCTTTAACGAGTTAAAGCAAATGAAAAAAAAAAAAAGATTTTAATCAGATAGATTGTAAAAATAATGCATTTGAATTTAATACAAGGCTTCGAATGGACCAGTACTTTCCGTGAACAAATCTGGGTAGAATTTCATACATTTTTTTAAATACCTTTAAAGCCTGTATCGAAACACCTTTTCATGCAAAGATAAATATTTATTTATCAATTATATAACTTGTTTTCCTTCTTAGAAAGCAATAAAAGATCATTTTCATGGTCTCGATGATGAAGGAAAAGATTCTTTGAAAGTAAGTTTTTGTTTTCTGTTAAAGAGATTAAATATGCGAAAATCCTTTCATTATTCTAGTACCTCCAAATGTATATTTTAAAGTTTTGTACTTCTACATAATTATGAATTTTAGCGTACTTATTTATAACTTGGAAGAGACGAGCATTAGAATCTCATTTTTATTTTTTTTAAATTCACATTTCTAATCTAATGATAATACCTAGTAGAGAGCAATCGCTTAAATTATTCTGTTCTAATCAAGCGGCAAAAATACTGGTGAAAGTTGTACGCAAGTGGTATATTTCTATTTTCAAAAGAAGAGACGCATTTGCTTTTTAATAACAAGGCTAAAATTTTACTGTAATGTATAATTTTAAAACTGTTTATGCCTGAACAGCCCATCAGAAATAAAATACAGAGCTGTTCGCAAAATTTTTAGATTATTTTCATTGAATTTACAGAAGTATTTTACTTAAAATTTTTAAGTTTGAAATGTTCTATTTGACAGCCTTTATTCTTCACTGTCTTTATATACCGTAATTTGCAAGACAATGAAGCCTTTTATAGTATCGGAAGAGGCAATTTATACCATTGCTCTCAAAAAGCTTTCCAAGATCTAAGGAGGTTGTAGGTCGACGTTAGGAAATATGTGTTTGATAATATGTGAAGTTAACATTTTTCTCCACTCTCTTTATTTTTAATTTGCCGTTTTATGAAAGACCAGCAACAATCATAAATCCCTTTCTTTAGATTCCTTGAACCATGCTTCAAGCTGCTTTCTTCCTTTTTGATGATAATAAATGGATCTCTTTTTATTGCGGTCATTTAAGTTCATCTACTGTAAGAACATTTTTAAATTTTTATCCTGATAAATGCTTCTCATAAAGAATTCTGTAGCGCGTTCTGCGTTCGGCGATATGTCGTGGAGAAAGACGGTGCACATTATATTTTTATTTCCTTTTTAAGATTAATATCAGCATTAATCACTTTGTTTACTTGTTGGCACTCAGCATTTTAATGATTTTTCAACTGTCCTTTGAATTGGCGGATTTCTTTAATATTAAAGATCTTACTTTTGCAACATTCGAAACATTCCGTTTTTTCCTTGGAATCGTATTTGAAATATTGTTTTCCTTCGTTGTTGATAGCATTACCTATTGCAACTTTATATATCGAAAAACAAAGGCTTTCACGACGTTTTTTAATAATTAGATATGAATAATTTTCTTCGGAAAGAACACAAACATAGCCTTCCATTCATTGCTTCTTTAAAAGCAACATTTTGCATGAGAACAAAACTGTCAAGAAGCAGACGCTAATTTATACTTTCAAAAATATAGTTTCAGTTAAAAATATTCGGAAAATAAGATTTTTTTCTCTTTTACAGCAAAGCAAAATCGTCTGAAAAATGTGCGAACAGCCTCTGTATAAATGTCCTGTCAAAATTAAGCAAAACACAAACCCTAGATTTTTGATAAATAAACAAATGTTTGAAATTATTACTTAATATTAAATAAACTAATGGTTGCTCATTTCTTTGTTAAGTAACAACTCTGAGTTATATAAATTGATCAAAATATTTCCGTTTTATGGCGCTGAGGGTCATTTGTGCGTTGTATGTCGTATCCATGATAAGGAACTGCTACAGTCAAAACTAAAACATTTACTTAGAAAGATTAAAGCTAGAGGTAGAAACTGAAGCCCTTACATAAGATTCTTCCTTAAATTACATTTTACAGGTCTGATTGTGATTCTTTTTATTAAGATATTGGATCCTCTAAAAACATTGCTGAAAGAGCGAACGTTCTAGTCAAACGATTACATAAAAAGACTACTTCGACATTTTTATATAGAAGGTTACGCGCTTGTACCAAAACAGCATATCCAGTGTAGTTCATCAATGATAGAGTTCCTCACTTTTATTCTAATACAGTAAATGTCGAGAACTGTTAACCATCTAACTGTGATTGACGAGTATACTCGTCATGGAGAAGCGGCACGATTTTGTGTATTGACGAGTATACTCGTCATGTGTATAATGAAATGGAAAGATAAGAGGGAGGTTAATTTAGTAAGTATTGTACATTTTGGGTGGAGTGGATATGAGCGATGGAATTATCATAGCGTACTCCACAGCAAGAAAATGACTCAAAAAGTACTACAAAAAGATATTTCTCCATTTCTTAGACATTATGTGTCTGAATGCATTTATATTATATAAAAAAAATAATGGAACATTATCGTGTATCAACTTTTTGCTCAAATTTATTGAAAACACTTTTGCGACGTATCCAAATGAAAGAAATAAATCGACACAAACTCGGCCATTTAGACCTAATATAAGCCAGTTAGGCGGGAATCATGTTCCGGATTATATACCCGGAACATTGAAAAAAATACAACTCTACGCGAAGGTGTTCGCATTGCTACAAACGTAAGATCAGAAAGGAATCGCGTTACTGGTGTTCGATTTGCTGAGTTCCATTGTGTATAGTACCCTGTTTCGCTAAATATCACTCCACAGCAGGAAATTAAGTTTTTACTTTTATATGTATAATATTTTATTTAATTTATTGCGTTTTTAGTTTAATATGTATGTAATATATGCTTATGTTAACCAAATAAGTAAATATTAGTAATAAAATTTTCAATAAAATTTTCAATTTTATAAAATAAACCCATCTTTTTCATCAGATATCTTACCAGTGCAAGTTACTCTGCGACTGACGAATCTACTCGCCATGGCTCGATTCTAGCGACACAAAACGGTGCTCACTCTGAAATGAGGCCGCCAATGTTAATTGGTTAAGCGACTTATCGCTTAGTTCAAATACAAGAAATCGTGAACTCAAGAAGAGTTAAATACTCTTTATTTCAATAAAAATAAGATGAACAGTTGGCCCCTTATTCAGGCTTACAACAAAGCCCCCCCCATCGGGCTTGAAATCAAAATACGGAATAAGAACTAATTATAACTAGCTAAGAGACTTAGTCGAACCTACCACAAATCTAACGTAGTTGGCCCTTAATTTAAACTAGCCGACGAATATCAAAAGGCATGTAAGATACGGCCGAGCGTACCAGCTTTTAGAGAGACTTAGTCCGAAGGCAAACATGCGCTACTGAGGATTCCTAGATCTCTCCCTCAAAGTAAGTTGAACCTTCCTTAAATACTACTTCTTACTCATTTGCATTCAACGCGATTCTAAAAACTTGAAACGAGGAACGATAGGAAAGCACAATTAAATTAAAATAACTGTCATAAAATTAAAATATACCTTACAATATTACAACTTGAGGAAATCATTTTCTGTGATAAACTAGTCTAGTAATACTACAACTCTGGAATATAAACTTCCCTTATCACCTCTTATCTCTTGCATTCCCGCATTTTCTGTAATTTAAATCAAGAAATAATCAGATGCAAAATAGTGGAATAAAATACTGATTTTATAATGGGCTATAAAAGCACCAAGTTCGTTTTCCGAAGTGAACGAAACACACATTTTTCTACCCGTTAACTATTTCTAATTTGCAACAAAAATAATATGCTGACTTGCAATTCCTTAACCCTCCAGATGCCAAAGGTTGCTATGAAACTTTAGAGTTCCCCAGAATGCAATGAATGAGTGGTATTTTTTTCATTATACATTTCAAAATGACAGTCTCAGTTTGAATCTCTTTTTTCAATGCATATTCAATCCGAAATCGGATCCATTAAGAGCTGGTAAAAGTTTACATGTGCAATGAATTGGAAAGCCATCATTCTGTGCAGAATTCTACACCCTTTAAAGGTTAAGAAGTTTTGTTGAAACTCATTATTTTTTATAAATTGTGCATAAAAGTTTTAAATTAATAAACATTTTTTTTGGGTAAGACATGGTTGTTATTGGCATATTTTCATTTTTGGGGGATCAAATTCTGTATAGTGTAAAGTTCTGTATAGTGTATGTTAAAATCGTGAATTAATAATTACTAGAACTAGATTAGAGAATTAAACTTTATTCTCAAATGTTTCATAAGAAATGTTAGGTAGATTAATAAGAAGAGAAGAATTTTACATATCCTTTAAAATAATACTTATTTACATCTTCTCTATAACTAGTTTTCTTCTTGAGTAATGCATATGTTTTGTAATTACCATTCTCATTAGAAATGCTGGATGACGATGAAAGATAAAGCTATTGAAAAACATGGCGAGCCACCTGAAGGCTGCGAAGAGAAAATAAAGAAATGGATTAAACAAATACATAAGAAGGACTAGAACTGCTCTAGATAATGTGAACAAGTGGGCTTCTTCTTTTCTGCAGGACGAATGATGTTCACATAAGTGCTTCAAAATAAAAATAAATGCACATTAAATTCTAAAAATGCAATAAAAAATAATTCATATGAATGCAACAGAAATGCAGTTAGTTTGTTTATGTTTGCATGAATTACACTAAAGAGATTATAAAAATACATTACAATCATTACATAACTTCATTAAATTTAAATTAATGATTTGACACTTGTAAGGCATTACGTAATTAAACTAAGAAACAAAAAAGCAACTTCTTTTTTCTATATATTTTCCAATAAAAATCCCACTCTGCATCGGATTTAAGTGTTGTCGATTTATATCAAAAGTGCCTAAACCTTATATTAATAGAAGCTGCGTGCTAGAATGTAGAATTATTCAAGAACCAAAAGTGAATTTTCTAAGAACCGCAACAATATTATTTATCTTATTTGATGTAGGCCAACCAACGGCCGAGATGTAAAATCTCTGAACACTGATAGTTCGACTTAAAAATCGAATCCCAGCGAACGGGGTGGCTGTATGTTTAGTTTTCGTGGTTTCTCCCTTGTTTAACGTAGATATGAGCTAGTTTTCCTTTAAAAATTCTCACGAAGGCATCCCCTCTTATAGATAGATAGCCCACAGGTTACTTTGCCTTAACCAATTAACCTAATCTAACCCAAACCTATCTTATTTGATGATACCTTCTCATTCGTAAGTGTATCTATATAAGATAAAAAATAATATTCTAACCAACTTCAAACATTAAATTTTTAAAACATTCCTTAACTCGCTTGTTTAATTTGGAGTTATTTTCCCTTTCTGTCCTAAACTTAGTAGCTGTTTATAACAAATATCTGAAAATTATGTCATTTCAAAACTAATCGCGACATATGATTCGCACATAATGCTAATGATGCATGCTCTTACTTAATGCTTTAGCCAATACTGGGAATTAAAACCCAAAATTAGCTAACGGGAACAAATATGAATAACAACTATATCACTCTGAACTGATATTTCCTCTCGAACACATTGCAATCTCTCTCACTTTACTATGGCAAACTTTCTAACGCTGCTTCATCTGTCTTCAGACATATTTAAAAAAATCTGAAAGACTCTGGCGTAGTTCTTCAAAAACAGTCTACTCACTGCGTCAGTTTATTTGTGTTGGCTTATGACATGTTTGTCGACGAAATTAAAGGAATATTAGACCAGCTATAATTAAAAGTATATATATAGTAATAATATATATATATATATATATATATATATATATATGATGTACCAGCTTTTGTCCAGAATAAAAGATTGGTGAAGAATCATAAATGTAGTCTTAGCTTAAATTATCAGACGATAAGTTTAAAAAACAGAATACATTTATTATTATTCAGGAGAAATAGCAGTTACAAAATCAGATATCCGGAGTAAATAAAAAGAATTACTAATAACTTTTTGTATGAAGTTTACTGCATCGTGACATTTAAGAAAAGCTCCGATATTCTTTTGCGAGTCCTTTTATAGCCTCTGGAAAGGCGGAGCTTCCAAGAAATGACGTGAGCCTCGTCAGCCAATCCAGTTCGCTTTAAATATTTCCAGAACATTCTATAACTGTACGTGTAGAAAAGGCGGGAAAAACAACTTGACTACGGGGCTGTGAATTTTATTCCACGTACTTTCAAATAAGAGACCGTCGCCATTAAAAATGAATAGAACATACAGTTAGAATTTTAAGTGTATTCTTGACTATGGAATTTTATTATTACAAATATTCCCCCATCAGAAAAGGCTTGAAGCCGGGCGCCTAGACCACAAGACATTCCAAATAGAAAAAATATTTTAAATAATTGTTTAATTTGTTTGAAGAACTCGCATCCAGAATTCGAGTTACAATAATATTAATCTTAAATAGACACTCTCACTATAACACAGTCAATAATAATATCAATATATAAAATCGTAAATAATATATCCTTAATATATTGACATTTATAGAAAATAAAGAAAAATAACATTATGCATGCATTATTGGGAAAACATTTTTCGAGAACAGTTTCAGTTCTGGATCCAGGTCTTTAGAGATTGCTGCAAAACATTAGAGTAGTTCTTATTTTACAAATCTTTCATTTCCAGTTCGCCGTGGCTTTAATATTAAAAATTTCTATTTGAGGTGAGGTATTCCTCTATTTTTTTCTTGATATCATTGACAATTGCAATACTTGACTAATTTCTTAACATTGATTTTTGACTTTTAGTTTGTTTACAGTATTTTATTTTGACTACTTATTCATATATAAAACACTTATTTTGATAATAATCATTTTACACAATAATTTTACTCGTATTTTACCTTTTACTATCGACAATGACAATTACACTGGTGTGCAAAAATTAAGGACGAGACGGTTTTTTCAATATAACTTTGTACAAAAGCTTTCCAAATCAACACATTTAATACCGTAAGATCCCCAATACGTAAGGACATGAGTAATGTAAGCAACACTTACTAAAAGAGAAATCAGAGGGATAAAAAGAAGCTTTATTGAAAAAGTAGCATGGAGCGCAATGCGACAGAAGGCCGAAACATCTCTGTGATGGGTGTCCAGCAAGAAACATCCGGTCTTTAATAGGGGATATGATCTCCCCTGCTAGGCAGGTTTCACAGCGTCTGCCCATGCTGAGAATGAGGGTGTCAATGAGTTGTTGAGGCATTGCTGCCCATTCGTCTTGCAGCGCCAATCGAAGCTCCGGAATCGTTACTGGTGGTAAGGTACGAGCTGCCAAGCGTCTGCCTAGAAAATCCCATACATGCTCGATGGGATTGTGATCCGGAGATCACGCCGGCCAATCCATACGTTCAATATCCCCACTCTCTAAGAGCTGTTCGGCAGCTACTGTGCGATGACATGGTGCATTGTCGTCCATGAAAAGGAACTGCGGGCCCATAGCGCCTCTAAAAAGACGCACATATGGAAGAAGAATCTCGTTACAATAACGGGTCCCGTTGACTGAGCCTGCGTCGAAGATGTGAAGGTCTGTACGACTACCAAGCATGATGCCTCCCCAAACGAGAACACCGCCACCTCCATACTTATCCCTTTCAATGACGTTCGAGGGATGATTGCGGCTTCCCCGCTCTCTCCAGATGAGTATGCGATGAGAATCGCTACTCAGACTGAATCTCCTCTCATCTGTAAAGAGTACTCGTCCCCATTCATTGTCTCTCCAATTCCGGTGTTCCCGGCACCACAGAGAACGTCTTCTCCGATGGGCAGGCGTTAGAGGTACACACCGTACAGGGCGTCGTGCAAACAGACCACCACCGTGCAGTCTTCTGGCCCACGGTAAAACGCGATATCGGTCGTCCAGTCGCCTGTGTCGTGTGTCTAGCGATTTCCCCGCTGTCTGCCGCCTGTTTCTTCTGGCCTGTAAGGCAATATACCGGTCATCTGCGGGTGTGGTTCCTCGTGGACGACCACTACTAAACCCCCGGATAGCTGTTCCTGTAGTTTGAAATTGTCTCCAAAATCGTGAAACGATGCTGTGAGCAATTCCGAACTCTGCAGCCACACTTGTCACACTGCGGCCTTCCTCCAACTTCCCAATGATTCGACCTCGGGTAAAATCATTCAGATGTCGTCTAACAGATTGATTATTCGCCATTTCTCGCTGAGGCAGCAACTCGGTGTGATTTTAACTGCTATACGGCGTGCAATCTCTTTGCCAGAAATACTGATCTTACACCGACAACATGCTTTATACTACTCAGACACTCCCCATTACGTCTACCTGCATATCTGCGCATGTGCTACCGTACATCACCTTACTTAATCTCCTGATTGGTCTTTCTGTCCGCTCTGCCTCTTCGTTCAGCTGATATGCTAATTTTTCGACTTCGTCCTTAATTTTTGCACACCAGTGTATGTCATATACTGCATTGTCGTTCAACACAACATTCAACTTCAATAGTATTTTATAATTACCATTAACGTCGTTGCCAAAAAATTGACACATAAATACAAAATAAATACAAAGATACAAAACAACAAAAATTTACAGCGCAGAAAATTAGACATTAAATAATTAGAGGTGCTCTAATTACCTTTAGTAGCAACCCCAGTTGAGCGTTTACCAAAAGGAAGGTGTGTCTACCTATTGGTGATGTAGTTTAAAATTTTCTGGGTCTTGGTAGTGTCGTAGTCTGGAAACATGGACGGACAATATCAGTAGGTTTCTTTGTGTGGTAATTCTTTTTATCAATTTCATAATTAACCTCATAATTTTTGACAATTTGGTATGGTCCAGAATAGGGAGCTGTCAATTTACGTGTATTCGGAAATTCAAATTCATCAAATAAAACTAGATCACCAGGTTGAAAATCTACATCTGCAAATTTTGTGTCATAACGACTTTTATTCCTTTTATGATATTCAATAGTTCTCTCTTTAGCTAATTTTCTCGCTATGTCAACCGGAGGGTAAGTATTTTGATCTAGGGGAGAATCGAAAGGAAGTTTTCCGAGTAAAAGATATGCAGGGGTGAATTTAGTTACCGAATGAGGAGAATTATTATATTCACTAATAACTTGATCCAAAATTTTCGTCCATGGAATTTTCGATGATGTAGAATTTACTTTACATCTTAAACGAGTTACTAGGGTTTGGTTCACACGCTCTACTTTACCATTTGTCTGGGGGTGATGGGCAGTAGTTAGAAGTTGTTTTACATTATAATTTCTAAGAAATTTTTGAATCTATTGCAGGTGAATGCGGCATTGCGGTCACTAAGGATTTTTTCGGGGACTTGAATTTGGAAAATTTGTTTCAAAATATTAGCATAAGTTTCTGTAGTTGCACTTTTAGATGGAAAAGCCCAGACATAGTATCTTGTGGCATGATTGATCACAAGATGTAAATATTTTTTTTTTTTGTAGAATTATAATAATTAAAACCTCCGACTGTATCAATAGAAAGACATTCAAAAGGTTTATCAGTTGGGGGTACTTCTTGCATAAGTCCAAATTTTTTGGTTTTTTCTTTTTATTAATTTGACAAACATGGCAATGTTTCACGAAATTTCCAATATCTTTACTAATGTAGGGCCAATAATATTGTGGAGTGATTAA